TAGTTCGGGTCGCTCACCAGACATCCTCTACCTTTCAGAGAGATGCATAGTATGATACTGAAGGCAACGTCTAGTATGTATTATAAATACTATGGTCTATGAATAAACAAACAAGTCATTCACTATTGAAACTTCGAATAGTGCACATTTTATTGGTGGAAGAAATATGAAATCCAGTCTTCATGAAGTACGTCCAAACTACAAGTATAACATTTCGCATTGAAAGACTTAATCATAATTGTGAATGAAGGTATATACTTTGTAGAAATTTACTTTGAAGGGACGATGGAAGGCCTTAGCCAAACGTCATTTGGAGTTAACCATGATGCTCTGCGTCATTTCATAATTTGCTATTTTCTCTAGTATGAACGCTATAATGCGAATAATTTGTTTAATGTAACATATCTGTGAACATATACTCTCCCCTCCCCAGTGAATGTGTACAGAACGCTGTTGATTAGTTCAGTAACTTATTTTGTGGAGATAGTTTGTAGCATGGGACTCAGATAACAATATTTTAATAGGTTTAATTTAATTTGGTCGTGTGTTCAGGGGTAGTAACATGCTGGACATTGTCTTTAAGCATAAATCGACCCTTGCGATCATCAGATGGTTAGGTAGTTATATGCATAAATTATGACGATGAGCTAAAAAAAAATGTCCTGAGCAGAAAATGCACAAAACCCAAAATGATCAACGCTAAAACAATGCTAAAAACAGAACAGAACAGAAAATGGTCAAAAGAAAAATGTTTAAAACAAGAAATACAATTAAAATACGTCAAAAAAAAAACAATCGTCGAAATAAAAAGTTTTAAAAAATGGGAAAACCCCAAAATGTAATTAAAAAAATGTTATACTTTCTGCACCTGGATTTGTTAAGTATGGTACGCCCTCTATGTATGTGACCTCGTTTTCGGTTGCATCTGCAACAAACAAAATGGCAGCCTCCTGGAGCGAAGAAATTTTGTCAGCCGATCAAAAATCGGCGTTTTAAAAATCTACACCGAAACAAATCAGTTATTGCGTCACAAGGTTTAGTGAATTGTATTTCAAAATGGCTACATCTATAACCGATAACACGCAGTGGCTTTCTGTCACAGAGGAAACACTTTTTCTTCACGATGGTTTGTTGCGAGTGACCGATATCGTCGAACTTCCCCATGATGTAAGCAGTGGCGGCCAGATCACGGAAATAGAAAATGAAGTCGTTTCCTTCGACTCTAAAAACCCAGCTGAGTTATCTGATCGTTTATTGGCGGTGTGTGGGACAAGAAGTAATGCATATGCTTACTCGCGATTGTTGGAGTATCGACTGAACGCTTTAAAGGGACTGTGGCAAGCACAGCGACAAATGGCAATTCCCGATGAACACTCGGATTCTGGCGATGCGACAAGTCAGGAAGAAACTATCGCATTGCTGAAGAAACAGGGATTGTGGCAACAAGCCGAACAGGCCCCATTTTCATCTCGTGTTAGTCTTTTACTGACATTCCCTTTACTGAAATCTCAAAGTAGACTGGACCCGAGCCTATGTGGCACTACTGCTAAACTACTTCTAACGTGTCTCAAGGATTGCGCCCCACTGAGTTTGACCAAAGAACCATCAGACTGTCTCAATGGCCTAGAAAATTTATTATGTTCTTGGCTAGGTGAAGATATTTCCATTGAGGATGCAGCGACGCCAACTTTGGGGGTTGAACAACAGGCAAATGCCGCAGCCGCGCTGGTTGCTCTAGCTTGTGCTAGGTAAGTCACTAAGTGGGATTATCAAGGGGCAATAAAATACTACCCTGGTTTGATATGAGCTCGACGACCAGAATTTGATTCTGCAGGGTGTTCAAGCATGGACCTTTTTGGTAATAAGTGAGTGGATTGTTAATCGTCAGTAACTAAGTAAAATATCATTCATCAAAAAACAGATAAAATAAAGTTAAAACATTAATAATAATTCTGTAAATCATTTTCTTGTTTACCCTCGGCTTCATGTGAGGTTATCACAAATATACCACAAAGTGTGCACAAAGCCACTACGACAATCGTATCAACTAATCAGAGGTTGATGACGCCTCGTACTGCCTGAGTGCTTATTTTGCATTATCCTTGTGATAACCTTATTATTACAAATCTTCTTTTTCTGCTTGTAATAATAATTGAATGAGAGATTACAGTTTGAAATAGCAACCAAAAACATTTTGTGATGTGCGAACATTTGCGACTGGACATGATAGCACTTTTGCATCCAATGTAAACAAAGGATTGTTTGATCGTGCGACATCAATAACCTTGAACACGTCAATGTTGTTGACATTTACCCCATATAATTGAAAATTTCGATATTTAAATGATGCTGATAAAACATTTTACAGAACAACAAATTCAATTGTTTTCTGTGCTAAATGTGTAATAATAGACTATATCAGAGCGTGGAAGTTACTACACTCGTTTCAATTTACCCATGGATGTTGTTTAGGGTATTTTTGCAAATAATTAATTAAAATTTGAAAACTCAACATGGCAGTTGAATCCTGTCCAGCCAATCATAGCAACTCTTTGAACTGTGGATTTTACATCACTTGTGGGAATAAATATTATTTGGAAATATTTTACATTGTTTAAACAGCTATCAGCCTTTGGCTCCATTTGGTAATGCCCATTACCAATGAGTCATTGTTAATAAATCATTTATAAATATTTATATAGAACAAATTCACACCTTCATGAAATGCACTATATGGATATAATGAATCCATTCTATTCACTTTTATAAATATTTTTAATGGCAGTTGAATCCAACAAGCCAATCAAAGAGATAATAATAATGCAAAATGAATGTAATACCATCCTTGATCCATGAGTAAAATTTAATAATTACCACTGGTTATTTTTGTCAGTTGCTGAGTTATGGGCATTGACATGGACGAAAGTACACAGTGATACAAGAAAATTAATCTCTTGAAAAATAAAAGGGTTTTCTTTTGTTCATCACCATTCTCTTAAAAAGAAATAAAAAAACAGAACAATATACAACAAAATAATATTGAATTAAATAACACACATTTGTGCATAATGAAAATTACTACATGTATTGCACCATAACTACCATGTTATAAAAATAATAGAGAGAAAGAAAGACAATAAAATGTTGAAACAACAGTGTAATCTTCTTGTCATTTACAACAGGAAGTTGTGCACATAATGAAGTGAAATGCACCATGGGAGTACCGCCATGTTGTAGAAGGGAAAAGTTTATCTAACATCCATTTGTCAGCATTATTGACTTCATCAAAGAAACACAGTCATAACTTTGTGCAACTTTCTTGTAAATTGTATTATAATTTCAATTTATGTTCAATATTCTATTTTGCTAACACCATTTTACTGACACAATGCCAAGGAAAACTATTTGTATCAATTTGTCGAGTTTCAAATTAAGGGATATGGTTAGATATTGTAGTAATTAATTATTAAAATGAATGCAAACCATCGTCAGCAACGCATATTTATGTGCTACTGCAATTGGTTTTTCTTGAAATGCTATATTTATGTGAAAAATAATTGTTTTTCAAATCTTCTTTACTGTTCATGTGCACGATAACTTGTAATAAATGCCATAACAGCTAATGGATATAATTTCAACATAGCAATTATTGTTATCATCATATGCGTATTGTTTTCCGTGTTTGGGTCAAATAACAGATCGAAAAATGAGGGCGTGATTTTAACACAGCTGAGTGGGTCCCAAGTGGGTCTAACTAACGTGAACGCAATTGCTCTAATCCCTCTGCTGAAATCCCATAACGTGAACGTAGCATTTGTTAGTGAATTATCTCTTGTTGGTGTGGTTGCATAACAATGGAAGCCACGCCTTCCTGACTTTACAGCAGCTCGGGACTCAAAATGCAAGATTTTTTTTCGATTTGCACGCTCCCACTCGAAATAAAATGAGGTTATTACGAGGATGCTTCTGTTACTTTGTTGTACTACAACATGGATTTAAATATGCCAATATTCAATAACACTATATAATGGAATCTATCATGTATAGTACTTCCAATAATAATCTTTGCAGTTCACTATCTTGTTTGGGTTTACCACAACAATTGTGCTCTTAGTCTGTCAAAGAAATTCTTTGTTATTGAGTCTGAATAACTACATGTAACAAGTTTTAGCAAAAATTAGTACAGTAACTGTAAAGTCAGGGAAACAGTTTGTCATATTGTTATTTTACAGGTTTATGTGGGTTTAATTCAGCGAAATTAAACTCCATGAAAAATTAATGCATGTACACTACTTGGTCTTATCGGCATTTTATACAGATTTTACATTGGATTATTTCTAGATGTGACGGAAAAATGAATTGTCACAATATTAGAGATTGATTTTCAATGAAATAAGAAGCTGAATTCAACTTGGCAATGACTGGTATTATTATGTTTTAACTATTTTTACAGAGGATCTATGAAGAGTTTCATCCATACTGTACATTTACTACAAAAACTTGAATCCAGTATTGAGTCACTACCAGTAGGAGATGTGCTACATCAACTACTGCAGTTGGAAGGTGGTCAAGGTATGCCATCGTCTCTAGTCGGCAGTAAACATGTTGTATGCTGGGGCTTTGAAGACATGCTTAGTGACGCTGAGAAATCTTTAGATGACAAGGATAAAGGTGAGTGAAGGATTAGAAAATATCAAATTTACGATGTCGCCACCATACTGTTTTGTACACCGAAACAGCAACAATGCTGCAGCTAACTTGCTGACTGGTTTGCTAGGCATGTCTGGAGATTTAAAACTGATTCAAATGGGTTAGATCAATCCATTTTTATAAGCGTGCACTATTTTACTAAATTTGGGCATGCGGTGCATCGTGCAGTGATCACTGAATTTGAGAGAAACCACCCAGATGTATGAGACTGAATCAATTCATACATTTTGTTTTGATTACTTTGCCTTACGGCAATTTATACAAATAGATGATAAATTGAAAGGGCACTGTATCCTCTATTGAGATTTCATGTATATTGTATGTATTCCTCTGTATTACATGTAGTTTGACTTCTGCTTTCAATGTTTTTTTGGTCAACCAAGTTCCAATCAGATGATTAGGCATATGCAGTCAAAACAGTCAAAACATGACGTTAACTTAAAAATTTGTATATATGTCAGCTATATGGGATGTTGAACTGTATTTGTGTTTAGTTACTTTCTTAATTGTCTAATTGGTACTTATCAGCATATGTGACATAATTGATGGTATGAAAATGCACAATAAGTAGGAAGACCTAGCAAAACTGATTTTTTTTATGATGACATAAGTACCAGAATAATAAATAATTTACAGTACCGGTATAAACAGACTAGAACCTCACATAATGGCAAGAATAGGAGGAAATATTAGCTATAGTTGCTTGGACAACTCATCTTGATCACTCCAATAGATGCTCAATACTTAAATTACAAGCCAAAAAAAATACAGTTTCATGCACAATGTGTATTTCCCCATTACAAGAAATTTATTGAGTTACCTTTGACTACAAAGCTAAGTGCACTGACCCCTTAAGTTATGTACTTTGCATTTCAAAGTACTATTGAATATGAATGAATGAAAGACTTTATTGAAATCATCTCATCTCTAGGGTATTGTAATGAAAATACAATACAGTTACAGTTACCTCCTGGTGGGACTGTGATAGAAACAACAATTGAACCGTATGTAAATGGTGACTGAAATTGAATTGAATTAGAATACAATGCCATATATAAAAATTATGACTGGAAGTATGTTTTACCAGGCATGGTTGAAAAGAGGTGAAACAATGAAAGAAAGAAGTTCTTGAAATAAAAATGAATAATCCTTTTCAATTCTGTTGTCTCCTCAAGTTGTTGTAGAAATACATGTATTATGATGGGAAAACTAACATATGTTTTACATACAACAAACTTGCAAGCAGATGGTGGAAATCATACACATTTGGATGATACTTCCTCTTCAATAATCATTTGATGTGTAAACATAGTAAATAATGTTGGATTTCCTAGAATATTGATACTGTACTCAGTGTAATATGCTCAGGGTTTGGGTTAGATTTTTTGTGCTGATTTCAGCAGCCATCTTGTTCTACTGCTATATGATATTATAACGTATTATTGTCCTTATTTGAACATTGCTTTACGTCATTGCTATGCATAATCAAACCATAGAGTATTACTTGATTACGATCTATTGGTACTTCAAATTTCATAATATTTTTACTTCATCAAATTTTGTGCGATATTACGGTGTTGTGGAAGAACGTATAATATTATAAACAACTACAATTAATCATTTCACATGAAGAATGTTTCAAATTCAAAATATTGTTTATGATCAAATTATCAGCGTCTCTTAGCATATGTTGGCGTACATGTTTCAGTGCTCTTTGTATTCTATGTTATGCACCGACCAGCGCACCAGTCATGTTTTGGATGTATAATATTCCAGTATATGCAGTATCACCTGCAGCTATTACATTCTGATGGTATAACGTAATAACAAAAATGAACTCCTGACAATGCCATATTGGATTCAGAATCGATTATACACGCGCATAAAATCTACTCATCACTTGTGATGGTATGTGTGAACTCCTTTAGAAGTTATCACCTGTGTATGCGAAAGACAGCCATAAGGAAAACTTTCATTTCTGCATTTAATCACTGAATATTCTCTTTTTACAGATGCCTTTCCATTCCATGCTGTAATGTTATCTGATGTTCATAAAGGTGTGTAAACAATACTGCCAACTGATAATATTTCATTATCATGATTTCTCTCTTTAAAGCAGCACTATTGGGTGGGTGGGTGGGTGGGGGCTGGGGAGCTCACACAACAATGAATGTTTATTTCATATTGATCAGATAGCAGCCAGATCTTTAAGAGCTGTGCTAAGTGGCAGTTGCACAATTACAGTCAAGCTAGAAAAATCAAACAAAATTATTTGTCATGTTTGCTCATAGTTATAACCATTGATTCCCTGTTGTGAACAATGTTTATTTGTTGACCTGCGTAATAGCGGTTGGTGATCGTTATATACTTAAAGACCAACCTGATAGCACAAGAGCAGTAATAGAACTGTAGAATACAAATGTTTACAATTCAAACAACAGTGTCGCTTCAGGAGAAATGAATCTGTCTGGTTTTGTGTTTAACTCAATATCAATATTATACACAGAGATGGAGCAAGGACGTAGCATCACTTGTGATGGTAAATTTCTCTATACAACCAACTCTACTGGGAAGGGATTGTCTAAGATTGGATCAGGATTACACGGTACATTGCGGTGAGTTTCTGGGAATAAACAGTAACTTCTACTAAAGATTGATAGGAACGTTGATTTGCAGTTGACCATCACTACAACAGACTGAACAATGCATGTAGTGATCTGAAATTGACATTCAGAAACTTAATTGTAACCGTTTGGAGCTTGGTGTTGAAAAACAAAACAAATCTGGTTGTCATTTCATACCCTGGTAATAACACATTGCCTTACAGAAACTACATTGTAATAAACCCGCACCCCCCATGTGAAGACCACATAAAAAAATCTATACTATCAGGCATAGACACATGATTTGTCTGCACATTTACCTTCAACTTGTATGTTTGTTGCAGGGGTTACGTATATGCTCGTAACAGTGACCTAGAGACAGGCTTTGTAGCTTACGGGGATCAGTATCTAATTCACAGAAAAGTAGAGTATGATATAAGGCCAGCTCAATTGTGTGATATCATCGATCCAAGCACACTGAAGGTAATAAGCTACCTCTTCCTCCACCGCTTTTCTTTATTAGATAGACTAATAGCCGGTCTTGTATACAGTGCTTGAACTTTGGTAAGCTGATGGTGGCCAACTTACTGAAACTACTTTAGACTAGAAATAGAGCATATGAGGAAATGGGCTCAGTATTCCCTGTGTATTTACATCCAAACATTTAACATGTCAAAGTATGGAAACAAATTTAGTGTTTTATTTCTTGTCAATAAAATGATGCATCAAAGTGAGTTGTTTCTGAATGTGACAATTTTCTGTCAGCTGGTAGAGATAAAATCTGGTATAAGAATTATATTATTGTCAATCTTTTTCTATTCACTTTGAATTGATTTTCAATAAATTAGTGAATGAAATTTTTGTTACTGGTATATACATTTCAGTAACGAGACATCAGAGAACTAAATAAATTGTTGGGTCACATAGTAAACGTAAGCAGCCAGAGTAGTATCTGTTAGGTATAAGATCATTGAAGCAAGATTTGAGCTCTTATGAATGTAATATACAAATAAATTCAATAGCATACATGTTTGGTATCTAGGTGAAATGTACTATTAATACGCCTAACGCGACGCTGATACCAGACCACGCCAACTTTGTGACCATTAATCTGTGCAGTGATGGCACTTACTACTACTGGTTGTGGCTGCCATTACCACTTTCTGCAAACATCGAGAAATCTCCCAGTCAAGGCAAATATGTCTACTTGGAAGTATTTAAGTTAGAGGTAAGTATGAACAACACTATGTTGGTTGAATGAATTCCTACTATGAACACTGATTCGTATATATAATATAATACAATACAATATTAACTTATTTATTTGAGAAAATGTATTTTTGCCTAATAAATGTATCTGTATACCTCTTCAGGTTGTGGATGATGAAGTGAAAGCTGTTGCCATCAAAATCAATGTTCTATTAGAGAGGAAAGAGGATTCAGCTAAGAATTTAACAGATTCATTACTAGCCAGATTACGTCCATACAGGTCAAGTACAGCTGCAGCCACTCTGGTGGCTCTAAGTGGGGGATCACTGACAGCAACTACCACCAAGGATGATCCAAGTAAGTTGTAAAATGCATGATAAATGCAAAACAAAATATCCTCCAATATTGGGAGGTGTTGCACATACAATCTAATCAACATTTACAGAAATTTTGAAATTTTGATTTCACAGGTACAACTACTGTTGGGTTAACATTGAAAGTACTTCGCAAGACCCCTATTTATTCATGTGGTAATAGTATAGTATTGGTGACAGCGCCACCTGGTGGTAACAGTAATACTACTGCTAGATCTCTATTTGGAAGTAATTCTGGAGTTTCAGGAATGAGAAGTAAGTATTTATGACCTTGGCATTGGCTTCGTAGATGGACTTTGATATTGGCTTCATAGATGGACTTTGATATTGGCTTCGTAGACGGACTTTGATATTGGCTTCGTAGATGGACTTTGATATTGGCTTCGTAGATGGACTTTGATATTGGCTTCGTAGATGGACTTTGATATTGGCTTCATAGATGGACTTTGATATTGGCTTCATAGATGGACTTTGATATTGGCTTCATAGATGGATCTTGATATTGTCCTCGCTGTCAGATCGTGACATTGCCCACTGGCATTGCCCACACAGACAGACCTTGCTTGCAATGACAGATCTTAACATTGCTTCATAAACAGTTGTAGTTGACGATAGTTTGTTATGTTACGGAGGAATATTGTTTGGAATTGAAAGTGATGTGACTTGTGTGTATTAAACTCTGTTTCAGCTTTAGGGATCAATCTTTCATTTGATGTCAGTGATGGTCAGTTTATCACGAAAAGTGAATTCGCAGATGCACCAACATGTGCCCTAGCCAGAGGAGCAACAGTACAGGGCCTAGGTATATGTTATGATGTATGGAATAACCTGTTATGGACTTGTTCTAATGAATGGGTTGATCAGTGGTTCAATCCTGGACATCAAGCTGCACATCATATATGCCACAGGCTGGCAATTCCACATGTACAGACAGAGGCCCCCAAAGGTTAGTTATATTTTTATGTAAAATATTATATCTCTAGCATTAAAAACAGTATCAATGTATCATTCACTAATAAGCTGTATTTGCATTTGGGTGAAGTGTATTCGCACTCATTCATAAGTTCAAAACTGTACATTGTTTACATTCGGTTTGACATCAAAAAAATCGCATGAAGAAAATTGTGTCTCTGCAAATGATCACATTGTAGACACCCATTTGTTTTTCCTGAATCCGAACGTCTTCATGAATAATTAATCACATGATATAATGCAAAATGACATCATTTGTCATTTAAATTGTGGAAGGAAATGAAATTTAATTATAAGTTTGATCTGCACTTCGTCAATTCCTTGGTTGAAAAAATCTGTTTGATCAATAAAGCATTGCATATTTTGGAGAATACCTAGAGGAGATTTTTTTTCTGTATACTGCATTCGGTGATACAGCAAATGATGTTATGTTTTGATTTTCTATTTTTCAGATGTTTCACTTTCAGTATGTGATGTTATAAACAAACTATTACAACATGTTGGTAGTATGTGTTGTCATCAGCTTAACAACGATATGATGTTGACACCGTTACGTAATATGCTATTCAAAAGTTACTCCATTGATAGTACGTACATGAATAGAATTTGTGATGTCTTAGAAAAGGCCATACAAGAAAATGATGTCAGAATTATTCAGTGTATGCTGATTGTCTTGCAGGTCAGATAGTCATCTTTAAACATTAACTTTTGTTGCATGAATTTTTCCATATTTTATCCTTAAATTGTAATAAACCCCGGTAGTCAATCTGAATTTATTTGGTCAAAAATTAACAAGGGAAAGTTGCAAAATTTTTTAACTTGAAAATTTCACTAGGGATCATTTTACCAGCATTGACTGATTATTGCTATTGGTGGTGTGATTGTGATATCACAAATCAGTTTGCCCAAGGTGAGATTTTGCATCCAAATACATAGGTTTAAATTTTTTTTTAAAAACACTATACTATTCATTGTTTAGTATATACTGGTATACCTATTTATTTTTTATAAAAACCTGATAAACATTGCTAAACACAACTAGGTCCTCTATGAAAATGCTTTCAATGGAATGTTTAATGATAGATAAATGGCTATAAAGATTTTGTTGAAAGTGAGAGTCACAACACTTTTTTTTTCACTCTTCAATTAGATGCCTGTTTTAATCTTGTCAAATATTTCATTTCTATTCACACCATCAACTATTTGACATATTACCGGGTAGTCCCCAATCCCCTATAAACCTCAGAGTGCAACTTTATAGAGTATCTTTCAAGACTAATTTCTTTCAATATTGCAGGTGATAGTAAAATCTTACTTATTCAAGAATGAAAAAGAGGAGGAAAAGTTACTAGTTAAAAAAACCAGGTAATACCGGATTCTGCTGTAAATTCGCCCAGGGCCGTTGAACGGCAGTTCAGGTTTAAAAAAAATTATATTGGGACCAAGAAACCGCCAGGGCGATTTTTCGGCAGTTTTTTAAGGTGTTATTTTAATTTTTTCTGATGCCTATTCAAGAGTATTGATGTTTATTGCGACTTGCGTGAATGGGTTAGCTTTGTTTCGACAATGAGTTATTGCTGTAAATAATGTTAAATTATTCTTCAAATGCTCAGTTTATCTTTTGAACTATTCTTTTTATTTAAAAACAAATCATGCCGCTCTCCCATCAAAATCCAAGCCAAAAGATCGTACAACAACATCGGCAAATCTCTTCCATGCTGGGGTCAATAACATTATCATATTTAAATGTATTATGATAATTTGAACACGTTGGCATCATCCATCGTTTTCATTAGTAAATTATCGATTTGATCTGTCAGGTCAGGTCAAAACATCGTGTGATGAAAATGTGACCGGAATCATTTGCTTACGATGAAATAAGTTGAAATTTATTTGCATTTCATAACAATTCACGTTATTATAATCATTACTAGGTAATAATCAACAATTGTAAAACGCAACATGACCGGATTGCAATACCACGATCATTCGCTACTAAGTAATGCTGTTGTGTTCGTTGTTATTTGAAACTTCTTTTAGAATATATTTTCGTTACTAATAAACAACAAAATAATTGTATTTCGCGCACGAGGTTCGTTAATGTGATTTTTTTGGAGAATGATGCGTGGTCTACTTATTAATCCAGCTAGAAAAAAATGTATACAATTTTAGTTTCTTTCGTTTTGGGTGGTCCAACTGCCGGTGTTGAAAGTTGGTGGATTTTTCAATGAAAATATAAGCCCCCTAAAAATATTTGTTGAAAATTTGAACCCCAAATAAGGGCCCACCAGCCGTGAAACCGCC